AAGTATTATTACTGCATGGCTACTGACCTTTTTACTATTGCTATTATTAATTTCATTACTATATCAGCGTCAAATTAAAAAATCGTGCTATACTGTGTGTTCGGTGATACACAGGTAATGATAACAATTCAGTCGAATCATTGTATTCGATTCCTATAAATAGATAGATATGTGTAGTTATTAAATATATATATATATTTATTTACACAATTAAATTTTACAATTAAAGTGAAGTAAGGTGTGTGGAGTCAAATTATTTTGAATTCTCTCGGAATAATTAGATTTGAACCGCGCAGGTACATACATATGTACATACACATGTAACATTGATTTCTGTTGGTTTTATAATGTAGTTATATAAAATATATATATAAAGAATTTAGAATTTATGTATACAAATAATTACCAAGATTATATGTTTATCTAAAAAGAAATACAACAGTTCCAACCAGTCAATCAATCAGAATGTTTCGAAGTTTGAGTAGCTCTGTTGTCAAGAATGTATATTAGTGTATTACATAAAATCAAAAACCAATAACATTCAATCGATAAAATTTTTACAGATGTTAATGATTGAATTTATTGTAAGTATAATATATAAAGGAAATGAAGTAAAAGAAATACATTTTTTCATTTTTATGTAAAAAAGGAGTGATCTCGATTAAATTTGAATTCAACTAGCTAAACGTATACACACACTCGAACCTTCCCATCAGGAAGTCCGTAGGCGGTCGTTGAATTCATTCTAGTATAGTTAACATATTGTTGTTAAACACATATAATAATGTTTCCTATACATTAAATAAAGTTTTTTAATGATGTCAATGATTGAAATGATAAGAATATATGAATGGAACTGGTATAAATAGGAGCCGAAAATGCGTTGAAATCCGACCGGGCGCTTTAGGGCATTCCCTTAGCGCCTGGTCCCTTTTTTTATTTCCTTATTTTATTTTTTAGTTAAATTGTTTATTATTACTAGACGTATTCGTTACTTATTATTACTAGATTTATTTGTTTATTTTATTCGTTACTTATTATTTCCAGATTTATTGGTTTATTTTATTCGTTACTTATTATTTCTAGATTTGTTCGTTTATTTTATTATTATTATTGCGCGGTCATACATACACCCACACAAACACACACATACATACATACATATATTCGTTAATTTGTTTGCTTGATGTTCTATTCTCTTTTACTTACTTTTTTCTTCGTAATTATACAAATAGGTAGGATTAATTCGTAAGTTGAGCTAATTGAACATAGGTAAGTGAGTTAATTTAGTAAACATAGGTAAGTTAGGAACTCTATTCTTTCTTTCTTTCTTACGTTCTAGTTTATTTGTATTGTATTGTTTTGTATTGTTTTTTGTTCAACACAACACCAACAGCAGCAATCAAACACAACAATCATCGTAATATTATTTTCGTTATATTTTAGTTAATTTTAGTTAAGTTGTTTATTATTTCTAGACCATTCGTTACTTATTATTACTAGATTTGTTCGTTTATTTTATTCGTTACTTATTATTTCTAGATTTATTCGTTTATTTTATTCGTTACTTGTTATTTCTAGATTTGTTCGTTTATTTTATTGTTATTATTATTGCGCGGTCATACATACACCCACACATACACACACACACGTACATACATACATACATCCATATATTCGTTGTTTTGTTTGCTTGATGTTTTATTCTATTCTCTTTACTTTTTTCTTCGTAATTGTACAAATAGGTAGGATTAATTCGTAAGTTGAGCTAATTGAACATAGGTAGGTGAGTTAATTTAGAAAACATAGGTAAGTTAGGGACTCTATTCTTTCTTTCTTACGTTCTAGTTTATTTGTATTGTATTGTATTTTGTTCAACACAACATCAACAGCGGCAATCAAACACAACAATCAACACTATATTATTTTCGTTATATTTTAGTTAAGTTTAGTTAAGTTGTTTATTATTTCTAGATCATTCGTTACTTATTATTACTAGATTTGTTCGTTTATTTTATTCGTTACTTGTTATTTCTAGATTTGTTCGTTTATTTTATTGTTATTATTATTGCGCGGTCATACATACACCCACACATACACACACACACACACACGTACATACATACATACATCCATATATTCGTTGTTTTGTTTGCTTGATGTTTTATTCTATTCTTTTTACTTTTTTCTTCGTAATTGTACAAATAGGTAGGATTAATTCGTAAGTTGAGCTAATTGAACATAGGTAGGTGAGTTAATTTAGTAAACATAGGTAAGTTAGGGACTATTCTTTCTTTCTTACGTTCTAGTTTATTTGTATTGTATTGTTTTGTATTGTTTTTTGTTCAACACAACACCAACAGCAGCAATCAAACACAATATTATTTTCGTTATATTTTAGTTAAGTTTAGTTAAGTTGTTTATTATTTCTAGATCATTCGTTACTTATTATTACTAGATTTGTTCGTTTATTTTATTCGTTACTTATTATTCCTAGATTTATTCGTTTATTTTATTCGTTACTTATTATTTCTAGATTTGTTCGTTTATTTTATTATTATTATTGCGCGGTCATACATACACACATACATACATACATATATTCGTTGTTTTGTTTGCTTGATGTTTTATTCTCTTTTCCTTACTTTTTTCTTTAATTGTACAAATAGGTAGGATTAATTCGTAAGTTGAGCTAATTGAACATAGGTAGGTGAGTTAATTTAGTAAACATAGGTAAGTTAGGGACTATTCTTTCTTTCTTACGTTCTAGTTTATTTGTATTGTATTTTGTTCAACATAACATCAACAACAGCAATCAAACACAACAATCAACACAATATTATTTTTGTTATATTTTAGTTAGGTTGTATATTATTTCTAGACCTTCGTTACTTATTATTTCTAGACTGTCGTTTTATTATTAACCCCCTCATGAACGGCTGCCTTGACGTGGCGAGCGGGCTTCTCACTAAATGCCGTTCAAGTTTGTGCTTTTCCTTCTTCACTTGTTTGTTTTCATAAAAATGCGATTCTCTATCATTTTCTTGGTTGCATTTTTTAGCGCACTCTCAAACATGGGTTACATTAGCATTTGATCGATAGATTGATTGACCGATTAATTGAATGATTGTTCGAACGAACGAACGAACGAGCCAGATACACATATATTAAAACAACCGTGTTATAATTCGTCACTATAAAATTTCTTTATAAAGTGTAAATTTTTTAACAAATTGTCAATATAATCGTCTTCATCACCATCTCTTGAAGAACTTACAATTTTAATCCATCTGTCTATATATTTGACGAGATGTCGGTAGTACTGTGCGCATTTCGCATTCATCTGTTTCATATTCCTGGTCACCACGTCAATTTCATCGAAGCTGACGACTGCGTGGTCGTTCCTCGCCAAGGTGCTCACCACTCCACACCACCCCGACTCAGATAACCAAGCTTCATGATGCAATCTTGTTGACAAATCAACAAATTGTAATATAGCCAAGGTATTGAAAAAAAATTATGCAACCGTATCTTAATGAATAAAATAATTAATCTGAGATTCACGAAGTTACCATCATAAACAGTTACTTTTCATACTGCTTCAATTTCATTTCTTTAACTCTCTTGTCAGTATGGTCATCAGTGGAAGCCAGGATCTGAAAAAGATAATTCATACAGATATAATGATAGCAGCGTTTACTAATAAGAAATAACACAGGGTAAAATTAATATTATTTTATTCATTTGTTGACAATTTCAATTCGTTACACGTTTCAATATCTACAATGAACGAAATGGCAGAAAAAAATTTGACAGAACCTTCTCTTCCATCAAATCATTCATCAAAGAAATAATTTGTATAACAATCTGCTTGTGTTTTTTAAAAAGGACGACATCATCCTGGACGGTGGTGTCGTTTTCGCTCTTCTCATTCCCAAGCAGATGATTGTGAGATTGTAAGACTTGCAGGAAGCCTTCAACGACCTTAATTAAAACATTTTGACCGCCTAGCTGATGAAATTTTAGTTGCGAGTGCGGAAAGTTCCTCATGATGCAGGATAACGATGATATGATTCTTTTCATCATATTCAAAGATGAAAATGATGATGTAGACGATGACAGCAATGATGATGTCGTTGAATTTAGTAGATCAACCAATACTTTAAACAAACCTGTCAGATTTAATTCACAAACTTGACTTTGAGATGCTTACGGACAGTTCTTGTTTGCTAATCAACACTTAAAACTTAAATGAAAAATAACATTAAACCTTCAAAAACAACAAAACAAATGAATGATGGAGGAATATTTGTTCATACCCGACTTGACCGCTTCAACTTGTGCATGAGGGTTACTACAAAAAAACACGATTAAATTTACCGTGAAATGTTTCACAAAAGGTATGTGATCAAATACAGTATGTTACAATGTTACAGTTTCAAGCATAGTCATTTCATAAATTCGGTATCAGTCAGTACAGTGTACCAACCAACAGGTTCATGAAGAAAAAACTATGACATAAAATAGAATGATGGGACCTCTGAGTTGCAGACGAAAGGGTTAGCAATGCCATCATGGTGATATTCAGATTCGCCTGCTGCTTCTCCACGTCAAATTTCAGCAAGTCCATCCCACCAGCATCAACAAACAAATTTGCATTGTCCACCTTATAACATATAGTTTGGTAATTTTAAACTTTTTCAATTTTTTTTTAAACAATAGAAATCACCCCGCCACATTTTATAACTTTGCAGCACAATCAATGAAAATTTTGCTTCACCATCGTCATCATTATCATCCTCTTCATCGTCATCATCATCATCATCATCATCTTCGTCGTCAGCACTCTCTCCAGGACTCCAGCCAACCTGATGTAGATAGTACTCCAAATCAGTCAGTAGATGAAGCTTAACATCCTCAATATGAAACCCAGGAACACCACCTCCAAAGTACCCCTTCTCTTTCTTATCAAATTTATCAGCATTTTCATCATGACGTTTCATCTGAAGGTCAATTAACTTCTTGTACTTTTCAATTAGTGTCATCAATATTTCACCATCTGTCTGCAGTTTTATGTTCAGTTGATGGAAATCTCTTTTGATCTCTTCAATACTTCTGAACGGGCTCATATGAGGTAGTGGAGGTGAGGTTTGCTCTGCACCATCACTCTCATCACCAACCTTCAATGAAATATTTCACACTCTAAATAAAATATCAAAACATCACACGTTTCCACACATACACGAACACACACACGCACGCACGCACGCACTGACATACACATTAACTGTACATTTATAAATTCATCAGCCCATCCATTCATCCAAAAATGAAGCAGCACATCCAGCAGGATATCTGACTTACTGATGTTCGTGATTTGCTTGTTTTCAATTTTTTAAGAGCCCTCCTGATTTCATTGAGAGTAAAGTTGTCACTTTTTGTGTTCATGAAGCCTGCATGTTGGTTTCGCTTTATATAATAATGGTTGACAACATACTTTAAATCATTATTAATCAAATCAATTACGAATTTATGATCAAAAGTTAACTAATGTCCAAATTTATTTGCAAACTAAAATCTGAATACTGAGGAATTCTTAACCAAAATTAATTTCTAATAAATATTTCAAAACTTACGTAAAAATTGAGCTTCATTTTAATTGTTTAGCGAAAGATGATAATGATGGTAATATTGTTGTTGATGATTTTGTTAATAATGATGAAGAAGATGATGTTGATGAATATGACTGATGATGTAGATTGTAAATGATGTTTCTAACGAAGAAAACCTTGTTTAGGACCGTCCATCCAAAATTCCAAATTGTCTTCTTCTTGCTATCAATTAATTAAATTCAATTTTATTATTAGTCAGTGTTCGTAAAATTAATTTCATGTTAAAATATTAAACAATACTTTTAACCCTTTAATGGCTAAAAAGCAACCAACTGAGAAACAAGAAAAAACAAAAATTAAAAATCAAACAAAATAATGTAGAACTTGAAAGGACCATCAACTCTCTATGAACATCTTCTATGGTTTCTGTCATTCTCACACCTCTTTCATTCACTGTATAAAATTTAACTAATTTATTAATTATAAATCAAACTACCAATTCAAATCAGTAACTGCATGGCATCACCCAAACAACTAGAGATATTGCAGACATCACAAAATGTAGCAAAAGCAAAATTTCGCAAAACTCCATGAATAGTCATAACACAAACAACAGCAGGTCTCACGAACATTTAAAACTTTTCCCTGCGTTTTTATCATCATCATCATCAGTTGGTAGGGTGATGAGATTATGACGATGATCTTTATCATCATCCATCTGATCCAACAGTTTTGCTTCTTTCAAACCAGTCTGTAGATTCAATCGAACATGAAGACCTGGCCCTATCATCTCATCTATTATATTTACATATTTCATTTATGTATATATATATATATATATATATATATATATATATACATATATATATAATTCAAATAAAGAAATAAACATCTATTATTATTATTATTATTATTATATCTATGTATATAAGTATATATATATTACATATAGCCACCAGCACAGCATGTCACCAGCACCATCACAACACCCATGCAAACCATCTTGGACAACTTTCCATTCCTTCCCTGGTTGGAACTGTTTTTTATATTGAGAGGAGAACTCTTCATTGATGGGCCTGTTAACTAGTGTGTTTATATTTTTGATTTTTATTTATCTCTAATGTATGTATATATATATATATATATATATATATATATATATATATATATATATATATATATATATATAATAACCTTTGAGTTGGCTTACTAACTAAAATTATTTTACAAAACCTTAAACTTTTTTAAGTCTCTCTACTTTTGCTACTAAATCTAAAACTAAATAAAAAAAAGTATAATCTTTTGTACATAATGATCCCTCCCTCTCCAATATAAAATATATTAAACTACTAAACTAAACTAATCCTTAAAAAGTAAAAACTAAAACCAAAAAAACTCTGTGAAGTCTAGCATTCTCTAACTTTCTAAAACTAAACTTACAATCAATCTACTACTAACAACTAACTTACTTAACTTATGTAATTTAAAAAGGGAAAGTGAGATTTTTACAAAAAGGTTTTAATCAATTATGCAAAACAAAAATATAAATTAATGCAACACAACGATCGATTAGGAAGAAACGTCACTCACGTTCACCACCATTGGCCACCAGCTCTGATCTTCTTGCTTCATCTTCATCATCATCTGCATCATTATTAAAGTCATCATCTTTATTTAACTCAATAGCCAAGCAAGTAAAGCACAAAAAAAATAAAAATGAAACAAAAATCATTTTCATCAATTTCATTTTGCACATTTTACGAATTTTTCAATGAAAATTGTTCAATAACTGTTAAAGTTTAAATTTTCATGGAATAAACAAGCTTCATTCAATAAGGTGAGGAATTTAGAAAATCACTTTTATACTTAAAAGCAAACCTAAATTTGAAATAAGTGACGTCGTTACTTTTCAACCAAGTGAGATTATGATGGGATTTCACCTTACTCCATGTGTATAGAATATAACATATTACATGTCATAATCTATACATATGCTTTACTCTTACAGTATTCTTTTTGTTATAAGCCTTACCTGGAGCTTCCATGCCAATGTTATACAAGTATCAGTGTATCAAAACTGATGTACAGCTTCAGGAGGTCAGAATGGCCAGTAACTGAGAAAAGACTTTTAACAATTATATTTAATTTTAATCGTTTTGTTTTAAGCAAACTTTTAGTTCATCAGAAACATAAGTTGATGTTTAGGAATTTATAACTTTTCATCATTACGTAAACATTTCGGTAACTTTTGAAAGCAAACTTAATGAAACGTTATTTTCATGATGGCATCTACGTTTTTTGGCACTTCATAATTAAAGTTCAAATTAGCAAATGACATCAATCAATCAATCAATCAATCAATCAATCAATCAATCAATCAATCAATCAATCAATCAATCAATCAATCAATCAATCAATCAATCAATCAATCAATCAATCAATCAATCAATCAATCAATCAATCAATCAATCAATCAATCAATCAATCAATCAACCAATCAATCAATCAATCAATCAATCTATCAATCAATCAATCAATCAATCAATCAATCAATTAGCTTATAAAGCGCTATTTCCGCGATGTTCAACAGCGCTCCTCAATGAATTTTGAAAACAGATGGGTCTTGAGATCCGCTCTGAACTTCGCAAGTGATGGAGAAGTAGTCAGAGAAGTAGGTAGAAAGTTCCAGAGAAAAGGACCAGAAAAAGCAAAAGCAGATTTGGCAAAAGAGTGTTTAACACGAGTTAAGAAAAAGCGAGAAGACGATCGTAAACAGGGGCGTTTCGGTTCAATTAATATATCTGATAAATACTTAGGAAATAATTTAGATTGAGACTTATACATGAACGTGCAAATTTTAAAAATTATTCTATATTTTATAGGTAGCCAGTGCAAGAGAACAAGATATGGAGATATATGAGAAAAGACATGAAGTTTTCATTAATTCCTATCCAAATTGAACCTGTATTTTTTCCAGTAAATCTGTGTCGATGACGTAAAGCAAATCAACTTTGAAATTTTTAAATTAAGTGCTAGATAGACTTTATACATTTATTGAATGACTTACTGGATCAAATTAAAAATGGTAAAGGTTACATAAATAATGGTTGTTATTCCGCGTTCCTCATTTTAACACAATTCAAGGTGAGGAAATTATTTTTCAAAACTTGAGGTTCCTGCTACAAACAATCTCCTCAACACTTTTTACGATTATTTTTATGAAAAAAATCAACTACTTTCGTTATTCACTTTTTCTTCTTCATCATTATCAGCCTCTTCTTCTTCTTCTCATCATCGCCATCCCCATACTACTAATACTACTACTAATAATAATAAACAACATCATAATCAGTACCGCCGTTGTAATAACAATCACAAAAAAAAATTATTGAAGCGAAGAGCGAGCAAATGCAAGAAAGTTGTTTTAAATAATTTGAAACTTGCGAGAACCATCCCATCATCTATACCACACCCAGGCTAAATATATCACATACACACACACGCACGCACGCACGTACAGCAAAACATGAAAATATGCACACGCACAGCGCAATATGATGCATTTATTTGTTGAGTGGGGAACCTACCTATAGTAATTGTTTAGCGCGCCCAGAAAATAAATTTTAATGAGTTCTTCTTAGAAACAAAACAATTTCAATCGTAGGAATGGAAAAATTGCATCACCATTTCAGTAAAGAAGTAGTAATTTTGTTTTAGGTGTGCGTATTTATGAAAGATTTGGAGCCCGTGCAGGCGCACTTTACATTTCTCTATCTACTTGATGAACGCTAACTAATGCATGGAAACGATAAGTCATCAACAAATCAGAAAACAAATTTAAAAAAATTAATCACCGAAACTGGAGCTGGAAGTTATCATTATTTCAAATAATACCAACCTGCAGCCATCATCTTAATTAATGAGAATAATTAGAAACCGCGCTCTAAAACATTGTAAGATACGCTTTCACGCTAGAAAAAATCTTTTGAAGTATAATTGTTTAATGGAAAAATTGACACGCTCCAAATCACATTAACATCTCTCTCTCTTCTTTTTCTATTTTTTCACATTTAACGCGTACGCACAACTTGTGCCTATTCTTCTTCATTAAATTAATGCTTCCCCTTCGTATGCCTTCAAATTATCTTCACCCATAACGCTGATTCATTTAATTTTAAAACTATTAAAATCACACTGTACGTCATATTATTTGAGAGTGTCAACAGTTGCACGACACTACAAAGTATGAAACGAATAGTAGCTGGCGAGACACCGATGTAAAAAGTAGCAGAGTTGCCAGCAGTCCGACAAACAGCTGTTGACACAATAGAACTTGCTACAACGTCGGTCAGGACTTGTCGGCATCCAGGTGCAGCAAGAAATAAACTGAGGTTATGATGCTCAGAATCACAAACAAAAACACTCCAACCAACAACATCGTCAATTTTTTATTGCCCAAAATTTCCCCAGTTTCGTCATAATCATCATCGTCGTCGTCGACGTTCCTAGCAAAAGCATCTTCATCATCACCAAAGTTGATGACTCCAGTGAATTCAATGTTGAAACGTTTGTTGCAAATGTTGTTGGATGATGTGACGAAGTTTATGAACAGCTTGTGGTGGTAGGCAGGCAAGTTGTAGGAAGGATGGTGAGGAGAATTTTCATCTTTCTCCTCCTCATTATTTTTATTATTATTATTGTTGCTGTTGTTGAGATGGTGGTGGTGGTTGATGTCGCTGGACGTACGTTCGATAGAAAGGTGGACGTGAACAACTAAGTATTGGCAGAAGTGAATGCTGTTTTCATTATTTTTAAGATCAACCCCTCCAAACGTTTTTATGATTCCGCACTCATCTATGACGAAATATTTGGCATCTGACGAGAAGAGAGGAAGAAATCTGGCGGTGAATCTGGAATTGTTGAACAATTTCAGCTGAGCGACGGCAACACCAGTCGTCAGATTAGGATCTATAATAATTTCTGTCCAGTTGTTTTCGTCAAATGTTGAAAAATTATTTTTAAGCAAATTTTTTAAATAAAAGATGTTGTTATGCTTAGTATTTATCATCAGCACAATCACTTTCATGATTTCTAGAAGTTGAAAATTTTTGGATCGCCGAAAACTTAACGTGTCATCGGTCATGTTGTTTATTTTAATGTTCTTGTTGTTGTTGTGGTCAGCGCTGATGTTCGCGTTCATGCATCTCAACTTATTCTTACATCTTGTCCTTTTTCTAAGACTGCTCACATCTTTGGCCGCGGAAGTTTTTGAAAAATTTGTGCACGTCGAATTATGAGAATTTTCAGTTGTTTGATTTTCCGATAGATCATCATTAAATTTATTGTTATAATAATATTTTCTAAGGTTATTATTATTAATAATATTAATGTTATTATTATCACCTTCCCCATCATTATTATCTTTTTTCCTGTTATTCTTCTGCGATGAAGGTATTTTTATGAAACATCCAACATGGAATGTTACCATGTTCAGGTGGTGACCGTTGACGTCATTGTGGTTGTTGCTGTGGTTGTTGCTGTGGTTGTTGTTGTTGCTGTTGTGGTTGTTGTTGTTGTGGTGGTTGTGGTTGAGGTTGTCGTCGATTGATGCAGGGAAATTCGGAAGCGTCTGGCTTCTCCTCACCGTACATGATTGTGCGTCAACGTAAAAATAACCCCTGCCACTGCCACCATCTTCGTTCTCGTCGTTGTTCTTATCGCCATCTCCATCCCGGTAATGTTCTTTTTTCGATAACATGCGACAAAGTGAAGTTTTTATATCATATTTTTTCCAGTTTTCTTTCTTCAAACTGATTTTTGTATAAGCCACACCATCATCATCATCATCCCCAGCATCATCACTAGCTTCGCCGTTATCACCAACCTCTCCACCCTCCTCCTCGCGGTCATCATCGCGGCCGCACAAATGACCAACTCTTACGTTTGCATCCCTTCCAGACCGGTCATCATTGGCATACGCGTACAAGACAGTTTCGTGCCTAATTTAAACGAGGAAACAGGTCAGAAAATCAATTGATGGATGAATTTAAAAATTATAAAGTGAAAAGTAAACTATAATACATTTGTAGACAATTACCTTTCAATCTTGCTTTTGGGTTTGTTTAGTTTGTCATTGCCGTCGTTGTGATTATCATTTCTACCGCCAATCCAATCATATTCTTTTTCGTCGTCGCCAGCATCATCATTTATTTTCTCTCCTCTTGCTTTTGCAAAGTTTTTTTCTGCGTTAATGAGTTCGATGGTTACATTTATGCTGGAGTGTTGTTGTGGTTGGCCTCCATCCCAACATTCCACAACAACCACGTGCTCTCTCGATGAAGTAACAAACTTTCGATCGATGGCCCGCTTTGTAACCAATTTGAATTCGTATTTGTAGAGTTGAATGAGTTGGAGATAATCATCGTTAACTTCACAATGCACCTGACCATTCTCGCCGCTGTCCACATCCGTCACAGACAGGTGCGCCACGAACACGCCGACCTTAAATGTTTGTCACGGCAATAGCCAAGTTTACCGTAATAATGACAATGACATAGTAACATCAGTGTAACGGCTACGAAATAATAAAAATTTTCAATAATTTCAACAAACTACCTCTAGATTTTCAACCATCTTTGCTTTCTTTCGGCCATTTAAAGTGCTGACAGAAATATTTGGTTTGTTATCATTAATGTCTTTCACATGTATAAAAATGGTAGCAAACGATTGTTGGGGATTGTGTCCCCTATCCTGTGCTACAACAGACAACACCATGTGTCTACGTTCACCTTCGTAATCAACGCAACTTTTTAAGAAGACCTGTCCTGAGTCAGGAGTCACGCTGAACAACTTTCCAAACTCTTGTTGAGAGTTGTAGGCAAGTTCGTATCTGACTTCACCATTCAACCCCGCATCTTCATCGTGAGCCTTCAACTGTAAAAGCATCGAACCAGGCGCTGCATCCTCGGAGAGAAATATCTCAAACGAAGATTGCTCAAATTTTGGTTTGTTGTCATTTGCATCCAGGACAATCACTTCAACAGTTAGACTGCCTGCAGCGTGTAAGTACGTATAAATTATGTTACAATTATCTGAAAAACTAGTCACAATTTATTTAACACCATCTCTAAAGTTACACTAATGGCCATTTTATTATTACGACAACTATTCATCCAACACCAACCAAACAGTCAGCCAGCCAACCAACCAAACAGTCAGTCAGTCAGCCAGCCAACCAACCAACCAAACAGTCAGCCAGCTAACCAACAAACCAACCAACTAGCCAGCCAACCAACCAACCAGATCTCTTCGGATTTCCACCATCGATCGCTAGCACGATAAAACGATAAAATTCTTGTTGTTCTCTATCGAGAAGATCTTTCAGAACCAACCTCACCTCCTCCATGCCTCCCTCGTTCCATGACATTTTGCGTGTCAATTCAAATGTCGTCGACCTCTTACTTTCATTTTCATTTTCGTTTTTTGGGAACAGCCTGTAGTTTTGTATAGAGTATAATTTTGAATCTGGATCTTTGGCGGTCGGAATGAGGAAGCTGAAGCCAGTTTGCGAGGATTCAGACATTCTTTGAAGGAAAGTTTGTGTTGGAAAGGTAGGAGCATGGTCGTTTACATCTTCGATCTCGATGCAGGTTTTCAGCAGCTGGAAGTATCTGCTTGCATTTAAAATGATCTCTGCGATTTATATTTAATTCTATGCACACAGATATACTGCTTAAGTTAAATTGATCAGGATAATCAGAATTAGAAATCAGAAAATTAAAATTTGGAAACATTTCAAGCATAATAATGCTCACATAAATAAATACATACTTGGCTGGTTGAACAATGACATCCATTTCAAATACGCAGTTATCATTGAGCCTTGACGAGCAAATCATCTCTCGATCCAAGATTTTCGCCGTTACTATCCGCCCATCCAATCCTCCAATCTTAAAAAATGGACCTTCAGAACTTTCGTTTGGAGTCAGAATACGGAACCTCAAGTGAGAGAGGTCCTCAGAGGAATATTTCAAATCAAAGCCGCCGTCCAGCAAAAGATTGCCGACGAAAGTGTCTGCCGGTTGTTCCTCTGCTACCAAATATTTGAAGCAATCCTCATCTCTCGTCGGCGAGGAGCTCTCCATGTGGTTCGACGCGACTAGCAAAAAATACTCACTGAATAGAAACAACAGAACTGAGAACATCTCAAACAAATTATATGTCATTAAAAAGTACAAAATTCATTTATCAGCATACTTCGATGCATTGTTTAATAACAACTGTAAGTAATGCGTAAATGTTATGTGACTAATTGGTCGATGGTAATGAAAATAATCTTTCAAGTAGCACTAAGGAAAAGTTATCCAAAGATAATGCTTGAAAATATTGAGGAAAAAACAGAGAAACATTCTTATCAGTGTAGTTTAAGTCATTTGTTCGTATGCGGATGGAAGGTATTCAACATATACCTACTCACGCATACACATATATAAATGTATATTAATATAAAACATACACCTACATAAAAACGTAGAGGAGACGTGCGTGTATGAAGACGCGAAACAATTGATGCGTGCGTGCCTATGAGTTCATGCCTGAGATCCTGCTATAGAAATATGAATTGAAGGAACAAAAATTATAAAAACAGTTCTACGCATACGACCTTATTAGTTACTTGATGCCTATCGTTACTGAATTAACTTCTACACGCAAGCCGATAACTGGCCACACACAAACAGACAAACACACGAGCAAACAATGAAAGTGCAGACAAGCAGCAAACACGTACCAACTGAATAATAACGAACCAGTCAGTCATCGTACAATTCGTTGCGCACCACAAACTTCCATACAATTTACTTCAACTAAAACATCAACATTTGAAAAACAACGACAGCGAGCGACGACGTTTTAATAACGCGCTGTTTTTATAATTGGGGAGTAATTTAAAGAATTTCCATCGATATTTTCGTTACATGTAGCAGAATATAAATACAATAGACGCGTTGAAATTGATAGGACAATCGCTTTCTGTCATTCAAGTCACGCGACACAACTAACCAACCAATAAGAATTGCACGGCACCTAACCAACCAGTGATAATTGCTCGACGATGACGTCAGAAGTTATTCGTTGATGACTGGCAAACGTACAAAATAAACAAAAATACTTAATATAATTTGGTTGTTTGCGTATGTGCCTGCTTGTGCGTGTGTACACATTCCTTCCGTAATGTGTCTGTGTGTGTCCTTCCATCAAATAATAATATAATAATCATCCACAAATTATTCTTAACAATTTATTAGGCCTCAAAGCAGAAAGTTTATAAAATGAATTCTCCGTAATAATTGGATTTATTATTGATAAATTAATGAAAGAGGAATATACGTACAAGTACATATAAATAAATATTGTCTAAATTTTGAAAGAAGATGATGAAGACAACGATGATGACGACGAAGTTAAAATTTCTTGTGGTGGTAGCCAAGATGATGATGTTGATGGTGGTTGGGCGGGAGGATGATGTGGCGAAGACGAAGACGACGACGACAACATGGCAGCGATATCTGCAAACTTTGCAGCGTAGTCCAAACTACTTTCGTTCAGGAGACATTGGAAGGTTGAATCCACCTTGTTCAATCATCATTTCAATATCAATTAAACCCTTGAACACCAAATTGAGTAGCATAGAACAATTTATTGATTTTAAATTACGAATCTACATGAAATTAGCAGTCATAGCATTGGCAAATGACACGGACAGTTGATACATCATTTGTTACAATGCTGGATCGCTTTATTATGAAAAACATTTTCTACAACTCAGTCGGTTTCGAAACTTGCTTGTCGGTTGACATGTAGGTACCGGCTCAGGTACCAGCTTTAAATCCTCATGTTAATCAACTTCTACACCACATAACTCCAAAACTTTTAATAATGTTCTTTTACAGTTTTTTTAACCCAGTAATTCCTGCCACAGAATGAATTATAATATAATTCATTCATGGAAAAACACATTTTTCCAACGAAGCGTACGTTTCCGTGTGGTGTACATTGCCAAAAAATGTACTGCATTCTTAAGTCCCACAAACCCATTCAATTATTGAATTACTGCATTCTTCTGCGTGTTATTCAATATTAACCGCCAGAAAGCGAGCACCAGTTATCATTTTCATCCATTTTCTCATCCGTTAAAACTTCTGTAAATTTTTCAGCAATAATTTATTTTCTTCAAACATGACGATGAATCTCTTCCATCTTTATTCCCACAGCCAGCCTCAGATAGGCACACATACTTTCATCTCCATCCATTTCGGTGTCATCATCGCCACCAAAAATTTCAAGAATAACACCTAAAGTTTTTTGAACATAGAGAATAGACATACAAAATAATATTTAAAACTCAAAACCAAATGGCCGATTTAATGCAAACGAATCAGTGTTACTTTCCCTATGATTAAAAACGAATCGATGTAATATTTTTCATTTTTAAAAATTCAGCGCTTATTTTTTATTATTAAAAAAGTGATTTTGAAGAAAAAATAGAAAATGTATGACACTAAATGGCGGTTTAAACTCCGTAAGTCGATGTGGCGACCCAACCGTGTTCAACGTTATTTTTTTCCTTTGGTGTTTAAGGGCTTTCATCATCATTTCAATACAAGTTTAATCAATAGTTCATCCTGTCATGTCAATATTTTCATGTTCCCAGCAATCTCATCAAGAAAATCATCCATACAACCAGAGAGGACTTACATCTAGCTTAGAATGACTGGATTCCCTGGACAATTCAGATAGAAACAAGTGTTGGTGTTGTTGATGTTGCGCGGTTGATGACGTCATTTTTCCAAATGCCAAAGATACAGAAAAGTTTTTAGAAAGCTGAAATGTTTTTGTAATTATCAGGATTGTTTGCATCGTTAAAATAAACAATAAATAATTAACAAACAACAGCAAGGATAAAAAGCAAAAAAAATAACAAACATCTGCGTTTCTCCAAAGATCACAAATAACTGGTTTGCCGTGTGACGTTGCAGTCAACAAAGATTCTAAAATTGAATGCAAAATGTTATAAATACAAGCGTAAATTAAGTGTGAGCACATATAATATTTCTCATCACCATCATTACCCTCATGTTCATCAGCATCATTATCCTCACCACAACCACCATCATCACCACCACCATCATCATCATGACCTTCTGAGCTGATGTGGTTGTTGCTGGCAGCAGCAGCAGCAGCAGCAGTAGCCACGTCATTGGACATGGAATCTTCGTGAACATTTAAAAAGACATCAGAGCCTGTAATAACCTGGCCGGTTATTAAGTTGTTAAGTTGGTTAATGAATACGCTGGTGCAACACAGCGAGAAGCAACAAAGTGAACGAATGAACAAAATGCATGAGTGATTGAACAAAATGAACGAATGAACAAAATGAATGAGTGATTGAACAAAATGAATGAACAGCTCACTCTGAAAGAAGTCTCAGTGCCATCTGCATTGTTAAAAAGTTATAATAATGTATCGTAATTATCATTAACATAGCCAAAATAATAATGAATATTATCATCAATATTGTCCTCATCATCATCATCATCAACATTGTCATCATCATCATCATAACAAAAACAAACTGGATCATTTAAATAACTTACACTGGGGCGTTGATGCGGTTGGCAGTGATGAAATAATTGCGGTAGTTGTAGTGGTTGTGGTAGCGCTGTTGACACTCGGAGACGACGACGACGACGATGATGCCGACGAAACGTTGAGCGTGATGGGAACAATTCTTCGGAAGGATGGCTTCAGTTCAGCTGGGTCCATTGTTATCAACTTTGATGATGACGTCATCGATGATGATGATAATGGCGTTGCCACTGTTGAAGGTGCTGATAACGATGACAAAGACGATGGTGTGATGGTGTTGATGATGATGACACTCGAAGCCAACCAGTCCGCAAGTTCAGACTCCTTAATGAATAATTAATCATTTAATACATTGCTACTCGACTCCTTCTGCAGGACGCATCATTCCGCGTGTAACGAAAAAACTGTTTGTTCTGCATGTCTTTATTGTTAGCCCGATCAGCCCAAAAGTGCCTGATGAGTCTGTCAACTTTCACCCGACAGATGTGTCTCCATTCAAAGCATCTTGCATGTACAAATTTACGGGCCCAATAAGCGAATTACGACATTTTTCATTTTTATCAATAAGGAAGGAAGTAGATTAAAGAGGTTAGAGGAGCTCGAGTATACTGCACAAAAATAACGATCGAAGAAGCAACTTTTTGTCAAAGTAATTCAATTTGTAAACTACTAATCATCGCGACAGAGTAATTAATTACTGTCTAAGAACTGCTACTCAATTAATTGTTTGAAATACCTCTTAAACTTAACACTGCAGACAAATGAATGTATTGATGTGCTAACACAATAACAAAAATATGTTCAAACATTAAAACTTAGGTGACAATTTTGAAATAAAAATCAGGCCTAATCACGAAATCCAGTTCAATTTTGAATAATGGCCAAACTTTAAGCGGGACCTAAAATAAAAGCTAAAAATATCACAACAAAGTTCTTTACGACACATACAACAGCAATGGTTACGAAGAGATAACACAAAACGTCGTTTCAAATCTTCTACCATCAGCACATTCCACAGGTGCCAACAACCCAGTTTTTCAAAGACGTGCGATATGGAACATTTTGTAAACATGCCACACCAGTTTGGTGCAGTTCGAAGCCAGCAGGTTCAAAGTTCAGCTCGGTTCCCATCTATAAATTTCATGAACAAGATTTTTAACTCGTACTTACTGTTTTCGGTAACAATGTTCGTTGTGTCGGTGGAGCATTGTTGCTGTGGTGCGCTGGTCTTCTGCGGGTCCTCCTCGATAGGAAGGATTCATTCTTCCTCTGAATGGGCAGGTGTTTGTTGCTTCGTTTGATGTTTTAAATTTAAAACTTTGAATTTATCTTGTTTAATTTTATAAATAACCCAATTTAAAATCATAAAGAAAGTTGAAGTAATTCGACATAACACACACACACCAAACCTACCAAACACACAAACAAACTTGAAAGATGGGAAGTTTCATGAGGGAAGATGCATCAACAATTTTCTTGTCAGCATTGCGTGGCTGTGCAGTTTGTTGCGATGTTGTGTCTTGTTGCTGCTGTGTTGAAACTTGTTGAGAAAGTTTCAGATGCGAATGAAGGGACGCTTGTTGTTGGTGTTGGGCGTGATGTCTGGCAGGCAAGCTTTGAGGAATTCTGAATGAGAATGATGATGACGACGACGACGATGACGTAGGCATCACGAAACTTTCTGCAGTAGCTCGGTTTTTATTGCAGCTTCCCGCCATTACATCAAACAATGTTGGTGATGGTGAAGTTGTTGATGGTGTAGATGTTAGTGCAGTTGATGTTGGTGTTGTTGGTGAGGATAAAGTCGCCGAAACATTTTCAACTGCTGTCAACAACTTGGAATCATCAAGCCTCTGTGTGGTTTTCAATTGTTCGTCTTTACTTTTGGGGATCTGCAGAGAAAGGATCATCATCATCATTTTCGTCATCATCATCATCATCGTCGTCATCATCATCATCATCAACAACGTCATCATTGCTACGATCACCAACGTTAAAAAGAGGAAGGAATTCTCTCATGGCCACTTCACAGAGGGTACGCAGTCGACTGCTCATCATTTCAAAATTTTTGCTCCGATCTTCAAAGTTCATCCCATCGTTGTCGACATTGTTGTCGTGATTGTCGACGTCTTTGTTGATGTTGTTGTTGTTGATGTTGTTGTTGATGTTGTTGATGTTGATGTTGTTGTTGATGTTGTTGATGTTGTTGTTGATGTTGTTGATGTTGTTGGACTTCCAGCGTTCATATTGATAGTTGTGGAGGCAGGCATATCTCAGCTGGATGACATTAGGGCATGATAGGAATGTGTACAAGTCCCTGAACGATATCTTACCACTTAATTCTTCATCAGCTCCACGCAAGTACATCATCTTCATCCTCATCTTCAATCCATCCTCATCATCGTCATCATCAACATCCTCAAAGTGGTTGTCTTCATCGCTGCCATTTTCATCCTCTTCATCTTCTTTCTCGTCCGTCTTTTCATTCCCGTTCCTGTTGTCATCGCCCTCCTCGTCAACTGCCTCCACATTATCGCCATCTTCAACATTTCCAGCATCATTTTCATTACTGTCATCATCATCATCACCATCATCATCGCCATTCTCTTCTTCTTCATCTTCATCATCACCATCATCATCGTCATCATCAGCGGTGCGATAACCACCTGCTCGGTGTTCTCCCTCGTTGCACTTGTCAGTGGCACCCACACGTGCATCTTCATTATTAAATCTATCATTCCTCTCATTATCATCATCATCGTCTTCTTCTTCTTCTTCGATATTATCCAATTCCCCATCATCGCTATCATCTTCATCCTCATCCTCATCATCGCTCAATTTCTTCCTCTTCCCAGCCATCACTTTCTCTCGCCCTCTCTTCTCGCCATCATTATCTCCCAACACTTCATTCAAGAGTTCAGAGAAGTTCTCAACATTAGTGTCTGCGGTGTCCAAGTTCGTGCTGGTGGCAAGCCCTGCACCCCCTGCTGCCGTTCCTGATGTTTCTTTTGGGTTCAATCGGGTCAGGATTATACAAAATTTAAAAACTTGAAATGAAGAGTTTCACATCAACAAGTTTAAAAAGATAAGCTATAAAAGATAATAAAATAGAAAGGGTTAAAGTTAAAAACTGACCCAGTCTGCTGGAGCTGTTGGTGTCCAAGTTATTGTTGTTGGTGATGTTGTTGTTGATGTGGTTATTGTTGCTGACTTGGCTGTTGTAGATGTAGTCATTGTCAAAATATATCAGCACCTTGGTCCCGAGAGGCTGACAAGAAAAATATCTACAATGGAACCAAATGAAACAAACGACAACAACAAATTTTATTTTTAATTAATTCATTAAAATAGCACGACGCGATAGTTCACGCGATAGCAATGTTTGGTTTCATCTCTGTATTTTATTTATTTATTTTTCTTCAACTTGAGCTACAATTTTCTCATTTAATTTTTACATTGAGCTGTTTTTGTGGAGCACTTGAACCGGACATTATATTATGTTATCAACATCAACAACAACATCAAGAGACTGACATGCTTCCACTTATCTTGGAGGCAGTTGATGAGGCAGAGAAGGACCTGGTCCAAGCCGACGCTGACCCGAATGCGAGGATTGTGTGAGAGTAGCTGTACGTACAGCCAGGAATCATTCCTGCGTGGCAACAACTCCACCGATATCTCGTCAGGCAACTTCAAGCAGGGATCCACTGCGAAGTGGATAGATGATGAAATGATGGCGGGGTTAGGGCTGCGAAGGTGATGATGAGAAAAATAAGTGGGGCGATGGATAGAAAAAAGAAAAAATTCATAATGACAACAAAATGAAAATGATGATGGTGATAGAGATGATGCTGAAATTGATATGATTTGTTGTTGTTGTTGCTGCGGGAACCTGTTTGATTGTTGATCTTTTTGAACGCTGGGCAACATGGGACTTTGACAAGGCATCTCCTACCTCTCATACGAATCATGGTTGATCTGATGATGTGGAGATGTGATGATGGCGAGATGAAGGCAGTGCTATGTTATGGCGAGATAAGGAAGCATGATGACGAAAACAATAATTTCTAATACTGCATGAACATCAAAAATCATTTAAATAATAACTGAAATAAGCAACCCGTTACAGAAAAGTTCATTTAATTTCTGTCCAAATTTCTCATCAAAACCTAAAAAAAATACATTTTAAATTTATTTTTTAATCTTTTAAAATCCAAAATCAAATTACAAATTAATACCATCCCATGAATCTAATATTTATGCGTGTGTGTGTGTTATATTCGTGGTTGTATTACACACAAGGGTGGCTAAACAGTGCTGTTTGAAGGATTATTTGTGGTTTAGAGGTGAGCATTGGAACGGGAATTTATATAACTTTATATGCTTACATTTACAAATGAGGAAACAGATAAAGCAGGACGCAAACGAACTTATTTTAACTTTCTTCCTTATCTCGCCATAACATAGCACTGCCTTCAACTCCATATTTTGCTTTCGACTTTCTGGATATGAAATAAAGGCACTCGTGACATCAACATCTTCAACAATACAAAAAATAACAACAAAAGCATCATTACATCAAAACAACATCTTCACAACATCATCAGCATCATCATCAGAGCAACGGCAGCAGCAGACGAACCATCGACATTGTTGAGGTTGATATATTGCGATATTTTGTGCCAGGTTCTGTAATAGAAGTGTCGGATTTGTTCCTTACTTTTCACGTTCCGCCGTTCCTTCGTGGTTCTCCTACTCTTGTTGGCCATGGTCAACTGGATGGCGTCAAAGTCCTTGCCATGCTGAATGGTAAGACCAAATTCAGTGAAATTTAAACTTAATGATGAGTTCAACATTCCATTATAAAAAAAAATGACAACAACACAATTGATGATGACACTGTATTTCTTTCTTAATTACTCTACAATGCATTACAACACCACACACACACACACACACACACACACACACACACACACACACACACACACACACACACACACACACACACACACACAGACACATACCAGCACACACACGCGCAAACATACACACACGCGCACACATACACACACACTGACACCATACAAGGACACACAAGAACACAGACTTCAAAAAGAGCTTCAAAGAAACTGTTGATGTCGTTAACTTTCCATGACTCCCTGCGCTTAACAACAGCTCTCTTACACTCCAGCATCAGCTGATCATCAGCCTTGACTTTTTCATTAATTACATATTATTGCAGATATGTTAATCAGCTATTGAAGTATAATTACAGCAAGAAAAATAAAAAACACACATTTATTCATTTAGGCTGGCATCTTATATTGCAACTTTCATTGAATTTTTATATGACATCTTTTATATTCTTTTATTGATCATCATCACATTCAAAATAATATCTTGAAATCGGATAAAAACTTATTTAAATAAGCTGAATAAATATCTTCATAAAAAAAATATATATATATCATATATATATATATTATATATATATATATATTTATATACAGTGTCGTATAGTAATCGATTACATTTTTTTGAATCTGTAATCGCATCATTTATAAAAGTAATCTGTAATCAAATTACATTTTTTGTGTAATCTGTAATCTAAATAGGTGTCACGATTACTTTATTTTAGATTACTTTAATGACAACAATACCTAAGATTTTTAAAATTTAAAGTTAAAAAACTAAAAAAAAGACTTATTCAAAAGAAATAGTTTATCCATTGACGTCGTGTGCTTTTTAATTAGACCGCCCACGTAATGTTAAAAAGTTGGTCTGCTCAAAAACGTTATGAAGCAGGATAAGCAAAGTCGCTTCTGGTTCAAACTTGTTTGAAATTTCATGAAATTTAAAAAAAATGCAATTTTTTAAATTATTTTATGAATAATTACAATTTAATAATTCAATAATTCATAAAACTATTTGACATTCATTAAATAAAATTCTTATGATGTAATCTGTAATTTCAAAAAGTTTGATGATGTAATCTGTAATCGGACACATCATTGCAAAGTAATCTGTAATTTGTAGTCTCAAGCTAATTTTAAAAGTAATTTGTAATTTGTAATCAGATTACTTTCCAAAAGTAATCTATACAACACTGTATATATATATATATATATATATATATATATATATATAACATGTATTTATGTATGTAAATTTCCTAATAATCTAGGTATAAGAACTAAATTAACATGCAGAGACATTTTTTGCTACACGGAGAAGATTTTCTTGCAGACTTTTTGCTGGTTTTTTGTGGTTTTGCGAATGTCCTCTCACTAGCACAAACCTCACTTTGTCCTTCCAAGTTCATCTCTTCCTTTCAATTGGTGAATAATAAAGTAAAAATTGTATTTGCTATACCAGAATGTAACAGTTTTAAAATGAAATAATTTAATGTGAGGTATAGGCATCTAATAAAAAACATCTATTTATTGGCAGTAACATAGCAATAAACTGCTTAGTTTTTGCTTTTATATTTGATTCTACTTTAAGTTTAACTAATGAGTATTTAAATTAATTTCGAAGATAATTTAGAATTTATTTGTTTGTAGTCTTTGTGATAGAAGAGAGGAGTCACGCATGCACACACACACACACACACACACACACCACACAACACACACACAGATGAGAAAAGTTAGAAAAGATTTTCTTTAAAAAAAATTGAAAATTAAAAAAAAGACAACTAATAAATAAATAAATTAATTAATTAAATTTAAAAACAAAAAGAATAGAGACCTGGAAGAGAAAAGCTGAAAAAACTTTCAATTTTTATTTAAATTTAATCAATTATAAAATTGATTAAAATTTAATTTAATTAATTAAAATGTTATATGGTGCCATGGTGAAATAGAATAAAACACAACTTTACTTTTTTAAACATCAATTTTTGTTTTAAAGATAAATAAATTTTATTCTTTTATTATTTATTTATATATTATTTTTCAAGTAAATTAAATATAAATAAATTATAATAAAATAAATAAATTTATAAAACTTCAGTAAAAATTATAATATTGATTGTAAAAAGTAGCCAGGAAGTTTGGAAGTAAAGTATAAACTGAAAAGTCGTTTTAAAACTGTTTTCAGGGAATCCGGCGGATGATTAAGTTGACTATTTTTTTTGTTTTATCAACATTTATACATTTTTAATATCGCTCACTATTTACTAAAAGACATGCGATTTATGCAAAGAGTTAGTATACGTTAAGGTTAAAGGAGTCGAGCTATTTGACTTGGCTTATTAGCTTACTTATGAAATAGCATGGGTTTTAACAAATACGCTATAAGAAATATTTACTTGACTTATTATGTTTAAAACAATGTAGTAATTAAATTAAATTATGTATTTCAAAATTATTTTTGTTAATTTGAATATAAACTGTATAATATAAACTGCTTGAAAGGATTCTTCTTTCTTTCACATGCCTCATCCTTTCAGACAATGACGGCCATCGACCTCCACGAAATATGATGTTTAACACTTTGTAAAAGTTGAAATGTGGTGATATTCAAAAAGTGACATGAGTACTTCACAAATGTTATTCGTTGTTGACCGCGATCTCTTTTTCCTACAATCTTTCCAGTAGTCGTTAGTTTTTTAAATCTTTCCTCCCGCATGATGTGACCGAAAAACATTAACTGCCCCCGTCAGATTATCTGTAGTAAATTTCTTCTTTTCATCAGCTGCTAATAATCCACGTAAGACAAATAACCCGGCCCTGTATCAAACAGTATCTTATTGAACAAAGTAGTATCATAAAATGAATCAAAATACTTTTTTCAAAAATTAGAATATTCTAAATTTGGTTTCATTGCGATATCGATGTGACCTGACTAATTAAAAAAACATCAAATAAAATTTATTAAATAGGATTGGTAATTCGTTGCAAAATCGTTGGAGGAAATGACGTCATGTTAACAGTAGTTATTTTACTGCATGGTAGTTAATCAGCCGATATAAAAGTTATATTCAATTCCTATCAAATAAATTTGACCAAATATCATAGGCAGGCAAAACTAAATAAAGAAATAGATAGATTACGTAGTTATAATACATTTTTAATGTTGTATTTACACATTTAAATTGTACAATTGTGTTATAGTGTAGTTTCAAATTATTTTGAATTCTCTCAGAAGAATTTAAACTTTTTACTAACCATATACTAGTTATTTTTAATAACAATTTAAAAAAATTTCAATTTGATTTCATTGCGATATCGATGATGATGATTGTGACCTGACTGATTAAAAAGCATCAAAAATAGGATGGAGAATTTGTTATATTGGGATGTTCGTATATAAAGCGAGCAAAATTTTAACATAAAAGCGCTTATAAATCTACGCATATTGGCTCAGCTTGGCTTGGCTCGGCTCGGCTTGGAATCGGATGTTAAGCAAGGTGTGGTCTCAAACTATTTTGAATTCTCCCCGAAAAATTTGAACAGCTTGCGTATATATGTAGTACTGATTACTGTTGCTTTTACAATGAATTTATATTATATATATATATATATATAAACAATGAATTTATATAATATATATATAAAACGAACAAAATTTTAATATAAAAGCGCTTATAAATCTACGCATATTGGCTCAGCTTGACTTGGCTCAGCTTGGAATCGGATGTTAAGCAAGGTGTGGTCTCTGAATTTTTCGCGAAGTAACTAGAACCCATGTATACAACCAATTAACAAGATTATATGTTTATATAAAAAAGCAATATAGCAGATTCAACCTGCCAATCAGAAAGTTTCGAAGGCGCTCGTTCGATGACGTCAATTTAGTACGGTTAGCATTGTGGTTAAGACTGTATCATAGCGTAATACATACATTAAATAAGTTTTTTACTGATGTGAATGATTGAAATGATAAAAATGTATGGTTGAAACGAGTATAAATAGGAGCTGAGACAACATGAAAATCAGATCAGGCATTCTGCCTCGCTTGAAGCAGTCTGTCTGATCTCATTTATTTTATTTTTTAAAATTTTTTATTTTTATTTATTTTATTATAGAGTTATATTGAGTTATATAGAGTTATATAGAGTTATATAGAGTTATATAGAGTTATATAGAGTTATATAGAGTTATATAGAGTTATATAGAGTTATATAGAGTTATATAGAGTTATATAGAGTTATATAGAGTTATATAGAGTTATATAGAGTTATATAGAGTTATATAGAGTTATATAGAGTTATATAGAGTTATATAGAGTTATATAGAGTTATATAGAGTTATATAGAGTTATATAGAGTTATATAGAGTTATATAGAGTTATATAGAGTTATATAGAGTTATATAGAGTTATATAGAGTTATATAGAGTTATATAGAGTTATATAGAGTTATATAGAGTTATATAGAGTTATATAGAGTTATATAGAGTTATATAGAGTTATATAGAGTTATATAGAGTTGCGCGGCTATATAGATTTATATAGAGTTATATAGAGTTGCGCGGCTATATAGATTTATATAGAGTTATATAGAGTTGCGCGGCTATATAGATTTATATAGAGTTATATAGAGTTGCGCGGCTATATAGATTTATATAGAGTTATATAGAGTTGCGCGGCTATATAGATTTATATAGAGTTTGTATGTTTGTCTGTGGTTTGTGTGTTTGTATGTGGAATTTTTTTAATTTTAGGTGGGTTCTTTAGCGGTTGCTCATACAAACATTACATACATCATGTTTGTTTGTGTGGTAATATTTTATGTTTTGTTTTACTCCTTTTTCTCTTTCTTCATAAGTCTTAGTTAAGTTAGTAAAACATAGGTAAGTGAGATTAAAAATTAATTTATTATATAGGTAGGCTAGGGCATAAGGTAATTTAATTACATAGGTAGGTTAGGGACTTCTATTCTTTTACTCTACTTTGTGGTGTGTTTTTCGTTTTGTGTTTTTGTTTTGTTTCACACCATACATTCAGCAGGTACGCGGTGGTTCCTGGTTTCAGTGGGATTTTTATTTATTGATTGTAATATATATTTTTATTCCTTCAGGTCTTACTCTCTATGTTTTAGTCTTTCTTTCTATTTTACCATTTTTATTTTTATTTATTTAAGATGCGTCATTTAGCACACCTACTCAAACACACACATTACATTAGGTAGCTTTATAGGTAAGTTAGATAGGAGTAAATTTAATTGTATGTAGGATAGATAGGAAGCATCCAACACTAATGTAGTTGAATAGGTAGGCGCGTATGTTTATCGCTTCTATTTTTTCTTGCACCCACATTACACGCATTAGCGTATTACACACACACACACACACACAAATACATACATAAACACATGTATTAGTTTCTAAGCGTAATTTTGTTTTCATTACACATTCTAATTTATTATTACTAAGGTTGAGAGTAATTTAAATTTATAGGTAGTTAAGGGTAATAATGCAATTCTAGGAACAATCTTGTAATGTAAATTAAATGTTGTAAGTGTATCGATAGGTAGGTTAATTATTAAGTTTAAATTATTATTATTAGGTTGGAGCCCAAGGCATTATGTAGGTGGTGGGGTGGGGCCGATTGGCGAATGAATTGGGCTCTTGAGTTTTGTAATTTTAGGTAAGCTAAGACCGTAATGTAACGAATAGGTAAGTTAAGGCTACGTTGTACACACATAGTCATTAATAGATTTATGGTTTAAGTTTTACATTTTTTTTACTAAGTTGGAGCCCAAGGCATTATGTAGGTGGTGGGGTGGGGCCGGTAGGCGAATGAATTGGGCTCTTGAGTTTTATAATTTTAGGTAAGCTAGAACTTAATTGTAATGAATAGGTAAGTTGAGGCTTAGACGTTATTAGCTAAGGCACTTGAATAGGTAGATAGGATTATTTATATAACTAATTTGAGACGCGTGCACTTATTATTAACCCCCTCATGAACGGCTGCCTTGACGTGGCGAGGGGGCTTCTCACTAAATGCCGTTCACTTTTTTAATTCTTTTATTTAGAAAGTTTTATAATAATTTATACGTAAGTTTATCGCTTCTATTTTTTCTTGCACCCACATTACATGCATCTGCGTATTACACACACACACAAATAAATACATAAACACATGTATTAGTTTCTGAGCGTAATTTTATTCTCATTACACATTTTAATTTATTATTACTAAAGTTGAGAGTAATTTTATTTTATAGGTAGTTAAGGGCAATAATGTAATTCTAGGAACATTCTTGTGATGTAAACTTTTCATCTAATTTCTATTTTCTTTTTAATGCTTCGAAGTGGAATTTACTTTTAAAAATTTAATGCTAATCTGTAAGTAAATGCAATAAATAACGAATGGCTACTGCAGTTGTGTGTGCTCGTGGCGTCTGTTGGTCCGGGGTGATAACTGAACGGTCGAAAGTTTCATCTCCGCCTTCTTAAGATTCAACTGTTGGTAATTAAAAAATTATCTAACGTTCAGTTATTCATTTATTAATCTGGGTAACAGTCTTTTTTATTAGCTTTTTTTAATTTATTTATTAAAATTAATTAGTAGTGGTTAGTCAGTTAGTTAGTTAGTTAGCCTGTTAATTTATTTTTATGAATGATGAATGTTGAACAATGGACAATGATTAAAATTAATCTTGTAAACAAAATTCAAGTTAATATTATTTATAATTAATTTAATTAATGTTTAAAATTTTAAATCATTTGTCTTGAAGACTAAAGTTAATTATTGATCTTCTTCTTAACTAATCAAATGACTTTTTTTTAATGTCTTGAAAAAGATTAAGATTTAATCTTATTAGTTATGCTAATTTTATTTATTTTCACAGAAACATGCAGTCCATCTTCTACATATAGTAGTCTTATCATCTCAATGCTGGAACTGCCTAATCTGACCTCTTCACCTTAGTTCTTTATTTCTGACAATTTTAATGTGATTGAAAATGAATTTTGGACTGTTATTAATGATTAGGAGAATTTTATAGCAAGCTATAATAATATTTTATAATAATTAGAATTCAGCATTATTAAAAAACAAACATTAAACAAAATACAATAGCAGTTTCTTAAACAACTTCAAAAGTAAATTGAAGCCACTTTTCCTTTAGTTAACGTACATATATTGGTCAAATACAATATGCTCTCTACCAAATTTGGGTTGTTGACTGCAGAGAAGATAGATGATGATGATGGTGAATGGAATTTAAAGGATTTGTTGGCAGAGAGAGAGGGTTTGAAGGTTGTGCTCGATGAGAAGGAGACCTGCATTGAGTTGTTGCAACAGAAGTTACAAACAGCTAAGCAGGTTTTTAAACAAGTTCAATATAACTCCTCCTAAAGATAATTTAGTATGATTTGTTTAACTAATTTAGTTGAAGTAATTAACTTACTATGCATAATGATAAATTCAATGCCAAATTTTATTTGTTGTGTGTATGTGCAATCTCACCTGTTTCAGTTGTGTGTATGTATGTACAATCTTTGATGTTTAAATTGTGTGTATGTATGTACAATCTTTGATGTTTAAATTGTGTGTATGTATGTACACTCTTTGATGTTTGAATTGTGTGTATGTCTGCCTGCAACCTTCACCGTTTGAGCTGCACAATTTGAAATTTTGTCCGACACTTTCAACTTCGCAGACTGTCTCATCCATGCAACTGCACAATCAACAGCTGCAAGAAGCAGACGACTTGAATGAGATGGAAAGATTGACTGAGCAGGAAATTGTAAAGAAGAAAATGACTGACCTTGAACTTGAATTAAAAAGATGGAAACAAAAAATGGAGATGTGTGTTGCTGAAAAGAAAAAAATGGAAGAGATTGTTGATGATGTGAGAAAACTTGCCAAAGAGCAAACCGATGTGGTTGGTTTGGTTTCAACATTCATTTACTTAGTGCTGCAACATTTTTTTTTTCAATATTTTAAAATGAAAATTAAACAGAACTAATTTTCTCAATTGAATTGACAAAAATATACGAAATAAAATATTTTTACATGATTACATTCAGATAGGAAAGTTGAAGGGCGACTTGAGGGAATCAACGTTAAAGGAGTTGAAACTCGAGAAAGCATGTGATGACGTTGAAAGAGACAACGTGCAACTGCAACAGCAAGTCAACTCGCTCATGAAGTCTCTGCAACACTGCGACATCGTTGATCTGCAAAACAAGAAACTCCTCTCCAAAAATCAACAACTTTCATACGAGTTGAAGCAAGCAGAAGAACAGAAGGGCAACATGGAGTCAACGTTGAAATCAACAATTGAGATGTTGAACGAGGAGAGGTCGATGCGCCTGTCGTACAAGAGAGAGTTGGATGCTCTCCAAGTAATTGGAATGAATGGAGGTGGAGGTTCATTTCTCAATCAGTCCATCCTTTATTCATCCATCTATCAATCCATCCATCAAGATTGCTCCTTTGATAACATGACGATATTACTGGATGGTCTGCATGATGATGACGAGGAGGAGGAGGAGGATTTTGGCGAGGGCGAGCCAGAGCAGATGGAAAGTGAGGCTGATGGCAACATTAATGTGGATGACCTCAACAGCAGCAAAATGATGAGGAGTATGAAGGATGACCTGCTGAGCGAGCTGATGAGGAGTTGCGACGACTACCTCGTCAACATGAATGCCCTGCAAAGCGAAAATGAAATGTTGAGAAGCGCCATCGGAGATCTGCAGCTTCAGATCTTTCCAAAAACAATGAACAAGGACGACGACAACGACGTAAGAGAAGTGACCACATCAACAACATCCACAGCCACACAGACGACAACATCATCATTCTCAGATTCATGCACCCAAACAACAGTCTCAACGAACATAAAAAAGTTGAATGTTGCCAACTTGTTGAGAAGGTTGCAGAGAGAATTGTTGGAGGTGTTGAAGGCAGCGAGATCAACCTACATGACAATTTGCAACTGCGCTTCTGAGAGAGCCAACTCGAAAGCTCTTCTACGCGTTGAGGAATGTTTGAAGGAAATGTCGAGTGGAGTGGTGGAATGCCACAGGGAGCTTTGTGGTGGTGGCGGGGGTGGACGTTTCCGTGGTGAAGATGTTGACGAAGACGGTGACGAAGACGCTGGTGAAGATGGTGGTGAAGAGTGGAAGAGGAAGTTACTGATCAGCTGTCTAGATGTCGTCGGTTCAACTAATGATTTGTTGAGGTGTGTTGATGACGATAATGTTGATGATGAAAATGATACGATGATAATAATGATTGAATTAATGAACCCTCTGTAAGCTATTCAGTCAGAGTTGTGGACAGGACGGCTGATGCTAAGTTTAATGGCCAAACACAGCAACATCATCAACTGCAACAACATCAGCAACAACAACATCGTCATCAACAACATCAACAACAACATCATCATCAACAACATCAACAACAACAACATCTGCATGATCAGGTCCTTGGCATGCAAACATTGTTAGCTGCTAAAACTGAACAGCTTGTTATATTAAGACAGGTCGCATGATGATGATGATGATGATGATGATGATGAAGATGATGATAACGACTGTTGATATCTTGCAGATGATATCATCCAATAAATCGATGTATGAAGAGAGTCTGACGAAGCTGACAAGGCACCACGATGAAGAGATGAAGATGAAAAAGATGATGATGACCAAATTGAAGGATGAGTTGGATGAAGTGATGATGAAGAACGCCGCTATGACGTCATCAGAAAACATCATCAACAGGAAGTGTGAAGCTGTCCAAGATGAAGTTCATGACCTCAACGAAAGGGTATTTCCTCCCTCTTTATTCAATTTTTATTTCTTTTTTATTTCTTCCTTTTTCTCTCTTCTCCTCTATATTTATTTTTTTCTCTCTCCTCATTCGTTTCCCTTCATCTGTTCATCATGGTCCAAGGCATCAAATTCAAACAACAACCCAACGTACAACTCAAACAACTACCACATACAACTCAAACAACAACACAACATACAACTCAAACAACAACAACAACAACAACAACGTAGTTATCCTCTTCGGAACTGGAGCGCAGGACTTTGAACAGCCTGCTGAGACTGGCCATCCAACACAAGCTCGTCCTACTCAACAAACTGAAACAGCACGGCATACCAATCAATCTTTACGATTGCCCTGACAACCACCAGCCAGGCCAATCGGAAGGAGCCAACTCATCAACATCTTCCATCTACCAACCAATCAAATCTTTCCATCATCATCGTAGAAATGACGTTTTGTCATCAGTGACATCATCGTCCTTTAAACCTATCCTGTACATACCAGCCAACAAAAGATGATGATGGTGGTGGTGTTGTTGTTGCTAATTTGTTCATGTTTTGATGTAATAATTGTTAACAATTAGAAACGTTTGTGATATTGCTAATGTTTGTAACTCGTTGACGCTAACTTAATGTTCCCAATGATTACAATTATTATTTTCCAGCATGGTAGTTTGTAGTTTTTTTGAGTGTAGTCAGCCGAGGAAGATATTTTTGCTTGCTTTGGCTGCCTTGAATTGAACCACTTGTGATGGTATTATCATTGTGTGGTCTCTTCATGCACTTCATGTCTTGGTCTAGTCATTTTTATAAGTTCCATTTATTCACTCACTCACTCACTCACTCGCTTAATCATCTAATCAGCCATGCAGGCTTCAGCAGACATCGGCAATACTGTTCTTATCATAATGTTAATTTTCCGATGGGGCACGAATAAAGTTATAACGCATCGTTCCAGTGGTTTCACGCCAGCCAACCGCCTACGTTCCGATTCCAATCTATCTTTTTGACTGCATCGTCATTCATCGTTCATGCACCATATTTCCATCTGCATTTTGCCTTTATTGGTTCTTTCATTTGCTGTTTCATTTTATTCGTCATAGATGAATAAAAATATATTACAACTCGCTGTTCATTTTCTTCCTCGTGCTCCAGTCGAAGTGAAGACAACGTCCAAGTGAGCGCACACACACACGTACAGAGCGAACCAGCAGCAGCAGCAGCAGTCTGTTCGGCGTATGCGCGTTAGTTCACGCCAACGACTTTGTTTACATCATCCGATCAAGTTGCTACTAATTACCTTCGTTATTTCTGATCTTTGGTCATTTATTTATATTTGCTAGAGTAATTTAACTTCTTTGGTTTTCAGATTTTGTCGACGTATGCACCAAATTAGTTGTCTATGGACATTTTGATGATGATGGTGATGATGATACGAATGTTTCCATTTGTTACTGTTAAAATGTTATCATCTCAAACTATAAGCAATCAACTTAACGTACGAGAGCATCTAAGAACTTGCATCCACGAGGGAGCAAGCATGGGTGAAGTTATGAACGCCCGTGCATGAAATGAACAGGAGAAATTTTTTATAATTTAAAATTTTTTACTGATGCTTTAAAAACTCCTCGTTCAATCGTAACAAACTGATAACATACTTGCTTGGAAAGTAAAGAACTCAACTGTATGTAAGTTGTAAGTTGAATGATTTTCGTGATTGTGTCGTGATTTTTTTGAAAAGTTTTATCTTCTATAGTCTGTCTCAACATATCTACTTTCATGTTTGTGTGTGATTTGTTAATGCTCTTAAAAATAGAGAACCCTGTCGATGAACAAGCGCACCGTCTGCAATGTTTAAAAATGCCTGCAAAAACCGTGCAACAGTCGTTCGCCATGCTATTGGGATGAAAAAAATGTTATAAATCTTCTAAATAAAAATTGAAATAAATCACGTGATCAGAAATAAATGAAGGAACGAACATCGGCTGTTGATATGTTTTGCTTATGAGGAAAAAATTATGTTTGTTTGCACATGTGTTAGTGGCGGAAGGATGGTAGAAGCAGAGCGACAAGAGGGAACAGACAGACACACGCGCAAACGAACGAACACGTACACACACGCATTTCAACAATAAGGACAGAAAGTCAGACAGACAGATACACACGCGCACAAATGAGGCACTTGTATAAAAGCAACAAACATATCGATATGAACAATTAAGGATAATAAAAATACCATTTAAACCATCTATCCAATCTTTGCTCATCCGTTCGTTCATTCATTCATCAATCCATCCACCCATCTATCTATTAACATTAATATCCTCTCGTGATCGGGAAGAGTGATGATGATGGTGGTGGTAATGATGGTGATGATGATGGTGGTGTTGATGATGATGCCTCATACCTTTGTTGCTTTGATTGTTCTCCTCTTGTTAACCTTACTCGTGGGATATCAGCGTTTTATTTGAACATGTGTGCATGGATAGATTGATAAATTTATAGATGAATGAATGAACGAATGGATGATTGAACGAATGGATGAATGAACGAATGGATGAATGAACGAATGAATGAACGAAGAAATGAATGAATGCACTTTACGATTCATTTTATTGTTAACTTCCATCTCTTTCGTTCGTTCACCTAATTTATTTGTTTTTCGTTTACTCATTTACCAGTTAATCCATCCATCCATTCATCTATCCATCCATCTATCCATCCATCTATCCATCCATCTATCCATCCACCATTCCTTCCATCTATCTATCCATCCATCCATCTATCTATCCATCCATCCATCCATCCACATTTACATTTCAGGATGTTGGAGATGATATTCAATACGATGATAATGAACGGCGAGGTTAAATGAAGGAATGAATGAATGAATGAATAGTGAATGAATGTGTAAATATAATAATGGATGAAGGGCGGGTGGACGACTTTAACTTTGTACCATTTTTTTAATTATTCTCAATATACATTGATCTTTCTGAAATTTGTTGGCCAAATAAGTACTGACGGAATGAATGAGTGAATGAAAGAAAGAAAGAAAATACGAAAGAAAAAAGGAATGAAAGAAGGAATGACTGAATATGATTAAGTGAACGAAGTGATAGATCGAATGATTTCAATACACACAGATATAAACGATCATTAGGTTCTTAAATTCTGGACCAATAAACCTGCAGTCATTAATAAAAGTTTGTGTGCATATTTGTAGATGTGTGTGAGTGTGTGTTTGGGTCGACCTGTTTGTGTGTGTGTGTGTGTTTGTGTGTGTGTGTGTCACGGTTGCTTGAGAGCCCATCAATTAAACTGATGACTCAATGACATAATGATGGTGATGATGATGATGATGATGATGATGATGATGATGATGATAGCAGTAGTTTTGATGATGATGATGATGATGATGATGATGATAGCAGTAGTTGTGATGATGATGATAGCAATAGTTGTGATGATGATGATAGCAGTAGTTGTGATGATGATGATAGCAGGATGATGATGATGCCAGATAAATTTTTATAAAATGCTAACGTGATAATGCCAAAGGATGAATACTTTTTGGCGTTTAAATTTACATTCGCAACAAAATCATAGACTGAGGGAATGGGATTGATTTGAGGATGACACCATGGCGGTAGTGTCAGTATCTATCACACACACACCACACACACACACACACACACATACATGTCTGTATATATGCATGTATTTATGTATGCACACACACGCACATACGCACAAAGACACACACACAGACATTCTTCTTACTTCTATATAAAGCCTGCAGGTGGTGCAACGTACGAACTAACCTTCATGCGAATCTCAGTTAACAAGTGATTTTTCAAGTTTTTAAATTATCAAGAATGAATGAATAAATAGATGAATTAATGAATTAATTAATTGGTGAATGAATGAATGCATGATTTTTTATTATTTATTTCCAGGTCGTAATTCCCTACCTATCCACCTAACTAAAGTTTTTCGCATATGTTCAATAATTCCGTTAACTAAAAATTATCGATAAATGATATATAAATTTTTTAATTTTTAATATATAATGAATTTCTTGATTATTAATATGAATAATAATTGCTTCTGAAATGTTGAAGTTTAAAAGTTGAGAGGCACTCGGGCTTCATCTTCCAGGCGTTCGGCGGCTTGTAGCTTCGGTGGAGGCTTCCAAAGAAGGACATATCAATTAAAATTACTCACTGCTATCATCATCGTCATCGTCTTAAGACTTTTTTGGTAAAATAATTTTGATGGTTGTTTCTTTCATTCTTTTTATACAGGAATAAGATTGCAGCTTTGGGATGTATGTAACAAGAAAGATGACGATGTGGATGGATGGATGGATGGATGTTGGTGTGGGTGATGTAAGGCCTTATTGTGATTGGTTAGTAATGGAAGCGTGACGGCGACACTGACAATGTTCTTGTTGATCTGACTCTACTGCAACAATCTCAGAGTAGGATCTTAACAATATTAGAAAATATTAATTATTGTTATATAACCATGGAGATGATGATGGTTGATGGTGCTGACGATGATGTGTTGAATGTGGAGGACTTATTATGAAGATTGATGGTTCAAAACTTAACCAACAACTTGCCTGCTGATTCACGTATCAACAACATCAGCAACAACAACATCAACAACAACATCAGCAACAACAACATCATCAACAACAACATCAGCAACAACAACATCTTCAACAACAACATCTTCAACAACAACATCTTCAACAACAACAACAGTACAGCCAAGACCTACCTACATCACACAAGACCAAACTTCTCCACAACTGTTGCATCGCCAATATACACTACAATAAAAGTATTAGCAAATATATCTGAAGGGATTAAAACATCACCAGCAACCACAACAACAACTACTACTGCTACTACTGCTGCTACTACTACTACAACTACTACTGCATCAACAACATCATCTTCATCAAACACAACAGATTCACAAAGAACTCCATCAGCTTCAACTGTTTTTGTAACTTTAAAATCACAGGTTCGCACGAAACAACAACATCATTCCATCTGCAAACGGATAAACATGATGACGTCATCTTTTAACCACGTGACCATCCTCCAAACATCATCCACCTTCATCTTCATCCTCTTAATGTTGGCCGGTTGGCATGGTAACACGACAACAACTTTGATGGGTGGATGTCCGCGGGAATGCACCTGCCAGTCAAACTTCTTCGACTGCAGCTACAGGGGACTGAGCAGGGTGCCTCGCGGGCTGCCACCCTACGTTGAGAAATTGTAAGTGAAGTGTGTTACAATGGTAGTGAGAAAGCTGATGATGATTGTCATTATGATAATGACGGTAATTATGCAATGTGTGATGAAATTAAGGATACAAACAATTATAAACAAATAGACAGACGGACAAACAAACACACAGACAAACAAACAAACACACAAACGAACGCATAAAAAGCTTTCACATACAAACTTATTTGTAAATGTAGAAAGATCTGCACCGAGCTCTTTTGTTCTTGCGAGCAAAAATGAACTTCAAATCCTTTAAACAAACACCTTTCAAGTACATAATGTATTCAAATGCATTCTACACACACACGCACACACACACGCACGCACACACACACGCACACAGAGATAACAAACAAACAACAAACAGATAAATAAACAAATAAATAAATGAGAACACCTTGAAGAGGACGATTACGATGAAATGAATTGCGTAAAGAGAATTAACAGTTGGGTGTTTCTTAATGAGCAATCTTTCTTTCGTTGTCATTCTCTCTCTCTCTCTCTCTCTCTCTCTTTCACACACACACCACATACACACATCATCATCATCATCGTCGTCGTCATAATAACCAAATTCGCCGCTGTTAGTTCCAAGACGTACTGCTCACAAAAGCATGCACATATGATCACACATACGAACATAAACGTACACACACACACACAAACAAACAAACAGACATATGTTAGAAGTGTTGTTGTGTTTTATTTGGTCCATCTTCAAAGATTTTCATGGAGTTGAGTTACTGAAAGTTTGAATGGAAGTCGAATGATGCTAATTCAAGAAGCTGAATGGCTGTCAGCAGACTAGAACTGCCTACATCTATGAAAAATAACAACAACAACAACAATATTATTATTATTATTGATTATTATTATTATAATAATAATAATATGCATGCATTGAAACGCAGAGACCTACAGGGAAACAACATAACGAACATCGGGCATGGAGATTTCATTGGCCTCCATTCGCTCAAAAACTTGTAAGACTCCTATACACTCATTACATTGTAATACTTCAGTTACATTTGATACGTTGATGATGATGTTGGTGATGTTGGTGATGGTAAGGATGACGACGAGATGAAACTTTTTGTGGAACGCTAACTTGATAAGTTTTGTCCATTACATTCTCTTTAACGTTATTAAATCATCGCCGTCAACAACAACAACAACAACAAAATTATCTTCAGTTACATAAACAACAAAAACCACAGGTATTTGATGGACAACCAAATCATGACAGTTGAGAAAAAAAGTTTCGATTCTTTGGTGTCTCTTGAAAAAATGTAAGTTGTTGATGTCTTTGTTGTTGTTGTTGTTGTGGTTAATGTGTTTTTTAGGTTGTTTTAAAGCTGCGATATACAAAACAATTGCATATTTACATCAACAACAGGCGACTGAACCGAAACAAACTGACAACACTACCAGAAAACATCTTTTCGCGGACAACCAATCTTCAAAAATTGTTAGTTGTTGTTGTTGTTTTGTCGTTGTGGATGTTATTTAAAAAAATTTCTTTTATGTCCTTTTTCAAATTTTGTTGCTAAGAAGACTTGTGATGGTGATGAAGACGACGACGATGATGATGACGATGGCGCGGTTGTTATTGAATGTTTCAAACTTAATTGCTTCTCAATCTGACATGGGCAGACGTAAACAGAAACTGATCGTTTAACTGACGACGACGACGACGATAATGAGAATGAATGAGGATGATGATGATGAGGTGGTGATGGTGCTAAAGTTGTTGTTGTTGTTGTTGTTGATGATGATGATAATGGTTGATTGATTGAACCATAACCGCACAGGGCTCTGTCTGGAAATTTTTAAATCTTTTCTACGATTTCATAAACAGTTAAAAAAATTTCTCTCAGTTGACTTAATTGGTTTTCATCTCATAATCACACTCATCTTCTCACTTCACGTTTCCTTCATCACAATTTTTTTATGCAAATGTATGCTTGGCTATCCATGATTGAGTGCATACATGATGAGGGATTAACATCAACATCTTACAATCCTCCATAATTGCAAATAATTTTCAGATGTTGCACTTCTCTCATTGTTGTGAACAATATTTTTATGCAATAGATTTTTTAGGCCGATCTTATTCTAAATGAAAAATTGAAGATTGGATGATAATATTAAATAAGTGTCGTTCTTGAACCCAAAACTGTGGCGGCTTAAACAAAAATGCAACATCAGGCTATTCGGTGTTGCACACACACACACCACACGCACATACACACATAGATAAACAGCCTTTGGCTAGTAAACATCATTATCCAACCATCAATATATATCAATCAATATATATATATATATATATATATATATATCCATTTATTCATTCATTCATTTTTCTATCCATTAATTCAACCATCATTCGTTTATCCAACCACCCTTTCATTCATCAATTCATTCATTTGTCCAACTTTCAAATGTGATAAAAAGATTAAAACATTCTCCCCACTCACTCACACGCACAAGCACACACACACACACACATTCACATTCACAATAGAGATCTCAGTAACAACATGCTGAGGGCGATACCAAAAAAGCTGTTGAGGGGCGTGCAAGTATTGAAACATTTGTGAGTCTATTTTTTCATCGTTTTGTAACTTACTTCTTCTTGTTTCAACAATATATAACAATGACAACAGACAACATCATGATCAACAACAACAACAACAACAACACTGAAAACACGATACAGAAATCTGGACAACAACGCCATCTCGTGCATTGGACACAACGCATTCAAACATCTCAAAACTTTGGAAGTCTTGTAAGCTTCGTTTTCATCTTAAAGCACCATCATTTGGCGCTTTATTTATTTTATCTGGCTGGCTGTTCATTCATTCATTCATGTTTTTATAATACTAAATTTAACAAAATTAACAAACACACACTCACTCACACACGCACACACACACACACGCCAGAACACTAAACAGGAACAACCTGACGACCCTGAATGAAGAGAGTATCTCACAATTGCACAGCCTCAAAATTATGTTCGTCGCCTTTTAGTTTTCACTTATTAAGTAGATTGATTAATATTTAATGAATGAATGAACGAACGAATGAATGAACGTATGAATAATGAAGGAATGAATGATTGAACGAACGAACGAATTAGTCAATTAATTAACGGACGAATGAATCTCAAATTTTAGAAGACTTGGTGACAATGAGTGGAGGTGCGACTGCCGCCTGACCTGGATGTCGGAGTGGTTGAGGTCTCACGTCTCCACGGCCCTCCTCACCAGGTGTCACCACCCACAGCATCTCAAGAACGTCCAAGTCATTGATCTGCAACCATCAGACTTCTATTGTGACGGTTAGTTCATCTGATCTTTCGATCGATCGATCGTTCTTCGCTAGCTTATTTCTTATTGGTTCATTACCTTATCGTATCATTCATTTCTTTACTAGCTTTTTTATTCATTTATTTCTATTCATTCAAGATCCGTCCCTTCACCGGCTCATATAGTTTCGTTCGTTCACCAACTTACTGTTTTATTTCTTCATTGGTTCGTCGGCAGGTTCGGAAGACCATGCCATGGACTGCAGCAAACAACCGCCCACCTGTCCCGAGGTTTGCTCGTGCACCAACAACGTCACCCACTGCCAGGAGAGGGGCCTACGTGGACTTCCCCAAAATTTAGGGGGGGACAACATTATGGAGTTGTGAGTATTCATCATCAGCACCATTTTTATTTACCATCTACATCATTACATCTATGATCTATCCAACCAACCAACCAACCAACCAACCAACCAACCAACCAACCAACCAACCAACCAGGCACTTGGAACAAAATGTCATAACAGAAATCCCTTCAAAAGCATTTATTGCACTCAAAAATGTTATCAGACTGTAAGTTGTGATAACGATGACGACGATGATGATAATAATAGTTTTGATGATGATTAGAAGATGAAAGTAACAAAACTGTTGAACTTGCACGCAGGGATTTTAGTAAGAACTCGATTGTAAAGCTGATGTCTGACTCCTTTGAAGGTCTCAACAGCCTGACCTCACTGTTAGTCTGGTTTGGTTCTTTAGGTTTTTTATTGAAACATCCATCCATCCATCCATCCATCTATCCATCCATCCATCCATCCATCCATCCATCCATCCATCCATCCATCCATCCATCCATCCATCCATCCATCCATCCATCTATCTATCCATCTATCCATCCATCCGTCCGTCATTTATTTATATTAATTATTCTTTTCTTCAGTTAATTCATTTATTCACCAATTTATTAAATCATTAATTCATTTGTGCAGATTGTTGAACGACAATAAGATATCCAATCTTCCAGTCGGTGTCTTCAATGGTTTGAAATCACTGCAGTTGCTGTAAGATGTTGATGTTGTTGTTGATGTTGTTGACATTGTTGTTGTTGATGTTGTTGTTGATGTTGACGTTGTTGTTGATGTTGATGTTGTTGTTGATGTTGACGATGTTGTTGATGTTTGCAGATTGTTGAACGGCAACAAGTTGAAATGTTTGCGCGGAGATACGTTTTCGAGGCTCGCCAATCTCAATCTGCTGTTAGTGATCATCATCATCACCACCACCATTATCATCATCACCACCATCTCCATCACCATCATCATCACCGCCCGCCT